TTACAACAGTCACCTCTACTCTATAATTAATCTTTCTTTGGATTTTCTGCTTTTTTCTGATAGCGCCTGTCAGTTGAGATTTCACGTACATCTGTAGCTACACATCCATCGATAAAACGCGAGAATAGGTACCCCTGTGCCGTATTATAGATGGCCTTGATGTAAAGTCCCAGCGGATTTAGCGTTAGCTTCAAGGGCACGGTCACGGTTAGGCTAAAAATCAATGTTAGATGGAAGTAGGTACTTGCACCTGTTGCGGCTGCGATCATGACTGATCTAACCGGCCTCGATGATGTCCCGTACGATGCTTCTCCACGCGCGACGATCCGTGGCAGCAGGCCTGGACGGCTAGAGCCATTCTCTTCGTCAGCGCTGGAGACCGAATAACAAAGGTCTAAAAATCTTTTCCATGTTCTGACAGACTGAGTCGAGCCAGGTTTCGTGCTAACACCCACTTAGACGTTTCCAATTAGGCAACGGTTTTGGATCGAGGGCAGTAACACTGAGCTCGTGAGGTTGACGGCGAAGAACGTGTCCAAACCAACTCAGTCATCTTTCTTGGATGGCTTGGGATATCCTTGCGATGTTTCTCGCAGCGAGTGCGGACTGTCTCATTTGAGACGAAGTCGGTGTACTTCACTCTAAAGATGGTCCTCAAGCAGTAGTGATCAAAGACTTCCAGTTTCCGTTCATCTTCCATGCGCATAGCCCAGCATTCGCATCCGTATAGAAGAACAGACCGTATAGATGCACGGTACACGCGGACCTTTTTGGTGATAAAAATAACGCGTCGAGTCCATAGGCACTTTCGAAGGCTGGAGAAAACTCGTCGACCTACCTCAGTTTGGGAGACAATGTCATCCCTTCTCTATCCATTCGGCAGCAACCTCGCTCTGAGGTATTTGAAACTGTCTGCTTCCTCGAGTTGACAGCCACTAATCTCGAAAGGTGCCTTCTTATGGGCAGGGATGCAACACGAGAACACTTTGGTCTTTCCAGCGTTTATGGACAAGACGAACGATTTCGCGGCCTCGTTCACCTGTGACACCATAGGCTGTAGATCGTCAAAGATTGATGCTAGTAAAGCGGAAATAGGTAACCGCCCTGGAATCCAGTGCAAGGACACCAGACCGCCCTATGCTAAGACCAGATAGTGTATGATGCCGTCCTTGTGTTAAGGTCATGCTAACAAACTCATTTTGCTAGTACAGTAGTCGCCGGCTATTAAGCCCACGGTTAATAAGCCCGCCGCTTATCAAGCCCAATTCGGTCTGGGCCCGAGGTGGGCTTAATAGCCGGCGACTACTGTACCTACTTTTTGCCATCTTACATGTGCATAACAAGGAGTGCTTGTGATGGCACAATTTACACTGCCACCTACCGATTTTTCACAACTGATCTTGTGAAATTGTTCAATGTTGGTCAACGTTCGCCGCACACTTAACACTTGGAAGAGTGTTCGTTTAATCGTTTTAGAAATCGCATCTCTTCCGTGTGTAAAAAAATAGTACGTATTAACACTGGTTGCTGCCCATAGAAATAGCAAACAGATCTAGCCACCGTAAAGAGAATTTGCTGTGGCGTCAGCAACATTTCTCATTTAAATCATTTTACGCTGAAGAAATTCGTCTGCTCCGTTTAAAAACATCGAACAGTCAGCGTGACACTTTTCGAGTAATTTTTCATATTTTACATCAATGTACACCAGCTCACTAGGCCATGTAGATGATCCCTGAATATCCAACTTCTGTCCGTTAATTTTGATATTTGCGTGAAGTTACCGGAACATTTCAACTTCTATGCGACATCTGACATAAGTGACCGGTACTCAGTTAACAATCTTCCTCTGCGGATTTCGAGGGAAATACACCATTATTGTTAAAACTTTGTAGCACAAGTGTACAACAAGGCAGATGAACATGTTTACAACCGGCATCCTACGTTTTCTTCTGAGAGATAGACCATGAATTGTAAAAGCATACTTTGGTTCTAACTAAACTCACGGGCAAAATGAAGATTGTGTGCGCTAAAGCTACATTTGCCA